TTAATGGGACACTATGTTTGCTGTGAAAAGCATCTCTTGAGAGTGACAACCATCTGAGAGAACAGGTGAGCAGGTCCGTCCATTGTTAGTAAAACAGGTTGACATTAGCTACTTGTCCCTGACTGTTGTAGTCGAATGTGGAGTGAAATATTTTTCAGGCAGACGCTGAGGTTATTGTTGAACCTGACGGGTGTACAGAGTTCTATCCCATATAGCTGTATGCAAACTGGGTCACTTGCAAGTCCTTATATTTTCATTATTGATTAATCTGATATAGTTACATTAATCCATATGTGTAGATTTCGGGGGGGGGATCACCTGGGACATGTCCCCCTCAATATTTAGACTTTGCATTTGTGCCCTTCCAATTAAAATCGTGAAAGTAGCACTTTTATTTTTGACAAAATTAAAGATATTAACATCAAAAATTGATGCAGAAAATACACAAATTGGTGCAAAAAATACGCAGAAAGCAGGAAATTAAGTGTTTTAAAGCTTTCTGGCAGAGGACCCTCAAAAAAACCCTTGTCTCATATGTGCCCCCTATATTTTTAACAAAACCAGCGCCTTTACATTCATCAATTGTTTAGTTTATGAAATTTAAGAAAAAAAAATAGCTATTAGAATCCAAGGCGATATCTTCAATTCTCCTGTTTTGTCCAACCAGAGGTCAAAAATCTAAATATATTCTTTTTACAATGATATAAAACAGACAAGAGCAGCAAATCTTCACATTTTAGAAGCTGCAGCCAGAAAATATTTGCCATTGTTTGCTTGATAAAGCAGGTATAACCATTAATCTATTATCAAAATTGTTGCTAATATAATAAATGACTAATTGTTTCAGCTGTGGATTTAAGTGGGACATTTATTCAGACAGTATTGTTCCAGCTGCAGCTGTTGGCACCTGTTTGGGTGACTCCTCCACAGAGGTGAGAGGCAGGTGCTGCATCTACTTAGCGCCTCTCTATCTGTCATCCAGTCTAATGGAGCAGACAGATTTTTACATGCTGTCATGTCCAGTGTGCACACAGTGGTATAATGAGACCAGTCAAACCAAACACTGCAGCTGAAGTGAACGGACAAGTTTCTGCCACAGACAGCTCTGAAGTTTTGTTATTCATTGTTGCCCTCTAGTGGTCTCATGTGTGTTTCTATTGTAAAGGGCCATTGCACTCAGTTTACACATCAAAGTCAGTTTACAAGACATCGTTAGTAGTAATTAGACTGTGAACACAGTTGTATAATGTCTTCTGTGGCTCTGAAGGAAGCTCTGAGAAAGTCTGAAAAATAAACCCTGATGATGTCATACTGTAGTGATGTCATCAGGGTTGCCTTGATGTGGGTTTGGAGGAAATTGTTAACAGAAAGCCAGCGTTACAAACTGTGTGGTGTCTGAAAGATGTGGGTGATGGAGTATCACTTTAAACTAGCCGTTAGCTTAAGATAGCTACTTTCTATTAAGAACACCGTATGCCAAGGTTGTAAACACAGCTAAAATGTCACAATACCAGTGACTATAAGTTGATCCCATGTGGTTTGTGTGCTAACAATAACAGGTGCAAAGGATGATTTTAGGTCAGATCCTTTCTAATCAAAGGGAAAACACTTTTCTATTTCCTTTTTTTGTCTCTCTCTCTTAGCATTTCCCATCGTTTCAGTGTGTGCTGCTGCCCTGATGACCCCGGAGCTGAACTCCTCTTCTGACGGGTCTCTGATGAGCAAGTGAGGATACTCAGTGTTCACACCAACAAGGCCCAGATAAAAAGCCCTTCCTTCCTCCATCCTGGCAGCAGTTGCCTTGAAAAGACACACACATGCCAAAAAATGCCTCTTTGGTGCAAAAGAGCAGATTTGCACACACACCAGTCTGTGTAGAAGCTTTCCTGGGAATGCCAAAGGGGTTGGCATTTCCAAAATAACAGCAGAAATGCTAGAATAAGAGAAAATGCAGTGGACTTCCTGCTATTGTTTGAACATTACTCGGGAAGTCACAATAAATGGTGTCAGCTTTTTCTGACGCGATAGCCACATAATCTCATGACACTCTCAACACCACTGACTTTGCACTTTGATAGTAAGCTTGGAATGGCAAATTAACATAATCACTATGCAAAATGCGCAATGAAACTAATCCCTGACGCAAATAAGGCAAATGTTTGACAGATGTTTGTTCAAATTTTACAGAAATATGTTGACGCTGAGAGCACCAGAATTTAATCACAGCAAGCTGATTAAAAAGAGGAAAATCTTCTCCTAAGCCCACTCATTCTTTCAATATCACAAATCCAATTTTATGTACAAATAAGTTGATTTACTGTGTTTCATTTATCTCATTGTGTTGATGTATTCCTCATATTCTCTCCTTCCTCCACCTCCTTCTTCAGGCCCACTCCGGCTGGTAAAAAGCGTGTGTGCTATGTGGGCCGGATCGCTCCGGAGTTTCTGTCTTGAACAGCGAGCATTAGTCATCCAGGTTGGTGGATGAAGAGAACAAGTGGCTCAGGTGGGTGGAAGTGCCCTCATATTGGATCACAGAGAGGCCTCAAAAACAAAGAACAATGCCTCTGAGATGAGAAGCTGAAAGAGAGCAATCTGTCTCTAAACGGGGCTTTAGCAAATAAATGTTTTTAGGGCAGCTTATGTCTCACAAAGAGACATGAGTCCTTTTTTTACACCTAATATACAAGTTTCTCATTTATACATGCAGATTTTGAATATTTATACTTTTAAATCGAGGTAATGTTTTAATTTATGGGTCTGTCATTTTGTAATAGTTTTTCTCTCACAATTTTCCTGAAAAGCACTTTATAATTTGGGACATATAATCATAAACATACAGATTTTTCTCAAAATGAAAGGGGTGCTGACTTTGAAAGACATGGGTATCCACCAGACAAAGTGGGTCTAATGAACAGGGTTCTCACTGTCATGAAATTCCTGGAAGAGCTATGAAATTAAAAAAAAAAAAACATTTCAAGGCCTGGAAATTGTTAGGAATTTACAGAATGTTTCTGAAAAGTTTTGAATATGCATTGTTTAAAATATGTTTATTAAAATCCCAAAATATGTTTAATGTTAGGCGAGATACCTTCCCTGTATTACTAATTTAAAATCTAGTGCTGTGCTATGCAACATATCCTCATACAACAGTTCGTATAATATCCTACGAAGCAGCACCCCACAAATTTCTAACATAGCGTGATACACATAGACCAGACCATAGCATCATTGCCAGGTTGCACCCCCTTTTGGGTCAAAAAATCACGCTGTCACGTCAGGAGAGATACGGGAATATGCAGAAAAGCTTATGTGTAGCATGTTAACTAAGGTTTTGCGAAGTACATGTATGTACCAGCCTGGTCTGTTGCCAAATGCAGCTAGTCACTGGCTGGAATGTCTAACTAGAGTAAAGTTTGGCTGTATCTCTACATGGAGACAGAGCACATATACGTCTTGCCCCCAACAGCTCATCGTTCTCCTGAAGGTGCCTCCTTGTCTTATACGTCTGCTAGCAAACAACACAAAAATACCTTAAAGCTGCTTTGCAGTGGGATGCTCTACCACCATGGCAAAGAATCCATGACAACATTTTTACAAGCTGATGAACCGAAAACTGAGCTTTTAAGCACCAAGACGTGAGGCATCAGCAGGAACATATGTAAAAACTGTGGGATCCTGACAGTCAGTACATCTACGTGCAACAAGCACCATGCTATTTAGACCAGAGAGGATGAAGCTAACTAAAGTTTTTAATGCCTGGTTTTGTTCTTTGTTATGTTAAATTATGATCTCATCTGGTGATTCAAATACTTTTAAATATCAAAGGATGTCACTATTGGCTGTTCAGTCATTTCTCCAAGATAACCAAGGTAAGGACAGGCAGACTCTAAGATAAACTGACAATATTGAGTTTATTAATGCAACTTTTTCTCTCTGGTTGACATAAGGTGCTAAAATACTCCTCTGATACGGTGATATATAATGTTTTTAGCTAGCTACAGGCATTTTGTTAGCATTGGTTGCATAGAACCTTTTACTGTTCCTGAACAGTATGATGTTTTTTGGTGGGCATGGCTTGGCTGGAGGCAAAACAATTCTCCACAGACATTAGCCAGTGCTAGCTAGCTAGTTCTGTTTGGCTTGTTTTAGACAGTGGTGGAAGGTGATACGAGTGGTGCCTTCAGAAATACCCATCCTGAGTGTTGGAGTGCACTCTGGCACAAACTGGATCATTCGTAAATTTGTAACGCCGTCTGAATGTACTGTTCTGTTATCCAGAGCACCGCACTTTCAGAGTGTCAGAGCGCACTCTCAGCACTCTATCTGGGGAGACAGAGCAGCAGAGCATCGAGTTGAGTGAATATGTGATTAACTTGACCGTCAATTCATGTAGAAATGTAACGCTCTTCTTCAACCAACAGGGCTCTCATTTTAGTGTAAGACCTGTGTAGCCTACAGCTCTGTGGTGGTGAGTCATGTTTTGCCTCCAGCTAACCAACTGAAGTCACTGACATTGGCCATGAAAGGGTCTATATTATTGCGCCAATAGTTTTACCCTCCACTGAGTATGGTTTGTATGTATGATGCACTGCGCACTGTCTCTATAGGCCTACTTATTCAAACCAGTTCAATAAATCCATGGAAATGAGGTAAAATATTATGGAAAAGCTACGAAAAAGTTTTGAAAATGTATTGGTAGAAATGTGTGAGAACTCTGAATGAAAGACTAAAATCATTATACCTTCTTAAAATGTGTCCTCTGTGTATCTTCCAATTTGTGGAAGTACAGTACTAAATCACCATATAATTAGAATTAATTAATTGGAAGTGTATTAAAAGAACACTTGTCTCTGCTGTCCTTATCAGGAAACTTCTGAGCAAATACTTGGAAATTATCCAGAAATTACAAGCCTGTAAAATAAAGCATTATTATACAACTTGATGACTTTTTAAATTACACATTTCCCTATCAGTATAAAGACACTGGTGTAGTGAAGTAGATTTACAATACTTTATATTTTGCTTGTGAGTCATGACTCCAAAATCAAATGATTTGATTGTCTGAGGGGATGTAGATATTTCACAGAACAACAGATATGCACAAATGTACCTGAATCTGCCAAATAAGGTCATTAGAGTTTAAACTATTCAACATCCAGAGACCTAACATACAAAAATAAATCATCAAGTATAAAAAAAGGAGGATTCATCATACAGCTAACGTACATTTACCATCCAGTGCTGAGACTACAACATCATGAAATACTCACTCGTTGACCAATAATGAGTTAAACACCCTGGTTGCACACACTAACATGTTCAAGTCAAAAAACACTAGAAAACAAGTTTGTTTTCAGCTCAACCCTGCATGAAGAGATATACGTCACGCACACTGCATTAGAATGTGAGTTCATGTTCAAAGAGTGCGAGGAGCAGAAGACAGGCCCAACCCATCAACAGACCGAGGTTCTGTAGGAAGAACATGAGACACGGTCTGTCCGTCTTCACTCGACTCATCTCTGGAAGCTGAAAGATAGACAGATATGTAGAGTACAACAAAGTTAGTAACCGTTTTTATGGAAATACTGGTTATAGAGAGAATTCTTCTTTAAAGAAAAGGCTGACACTATTCCATATTTTTGTTACTGTCAAGAAACCCCATGATAAAATCAATGATGTGGCTGTCCATCTTTTAATACTTAACTGCTCTCTGTCCCTTTGTTCCTACTGAAAATCTTAAAAAACAGTCACACATACAGACTATAGTTAAATTTTTCTTATTGGCTGGAGACTGTAGTTTTAGCAAACATTATTCAAACAGAGTAAACAGTGTATTTATTGGGGACTGTATTAATATAAGTACACATGTGATGTTCTCATTCAGAGTAGATGTATTTCTGCCACCCTATCATATGGGCTTAAGTAACCCCACAGTAGAGCATGCCCCTTAATAATATTTTATCTTCTATTATTTCTTTCAGTGGCCAGTAAGGATTGTAACATTTGGCTATTACAAGTGGCAGTTACTGGACATTTAAAACAATTTTACTTATAGCTTTTTATTGGCTTTTTTTGCCTCTGCATCTGCGATAGCTATGGCCAGGTGCATTATGCTTTCAGGTTGACCATCCATCCGTCCTTTTGTCTATCCCATGCTTGTGGTCGCAATATCTCAAGAACCCCATGAGGGAATTTTTCGAATTTGGCACAAATGTCCACTTGGACTCAAGAATGATCTGATCAGAATTTGGTGGTCAAAGATCAACATCACTGTGACCTTGCATTCGTCTCATTCTCATGAAAGCCATGTCTCAAGAACACCTAGAGGGAATTTCTTCAAATTTGGCACAAATGTCCTCTTGAACTGAAAAGTAAACTGATTAGAATTTGGTGGTCAAAGGTCAAGGTCACTGTGACCTCACAAAACATGTTTTTGGCCATTACTCAAGAGTTCATATGCTAGTCATGACACAAATGTCTAAAAGGATAAAATGTGATGACATTTTATGTCCAAAAGGTCAAAGGTCATCTCCACTGTGACATGATAATGTTCTGCAAAAACACTTTTCTGGCCATTATTCAGCTTCATATCTCAGGAACAGAAGGGGGGACATTTGGTCAGATACTGAACTGGTGACACTAATCTTGAAATTGTGCTGATTGTACAGATCTTCTGTGCCACCGGGGGAATATGTGTGTGAAGCATCTATGTTGTCACAGACAAGGGTGTAAACTGTAAGTTCAGCCTGTCTGGTTCATGGAGGTATACAACCTTGAAGCTGTAACTCTAGTTTCTGACTAGTTTTCAGGCAATCTCAGTTGAGACACCTGAAATGTGTCCTGTGGAGTCCGACTGTCGTAGTGAGAACGTTATATACCAATGTTGGCGTCACTGTCGCAAAGACAGCTGTGTTGCTTTCCATTGTCCTGTAGCCTAGCATCTCCCAGAAAGACAGGACCCGTTCCATTTTCCATTCTGGGGATAGCTACCGATAGCTACCAGGGAAAACAAAAGCACTGTCCTCTTCCTGTTTTAGTTGTACTATGGTTGACACACTTCCTTCGTGCTGTAAATCAAGGCTTCATTCTCCCGCGAAATTGCACCTGGTGGCTGAAAAAATGCACAGTGATCTCCATTGTTGTTGCACAGTTTTAGCTGAGATAGCTGCGAGTGAAATAATTAGGAGGATGCTGGAATATGAGTTGAGACATGGAATCAGTGGTACAGACGCTACAAATATCCACAGCTGTGAGCAATGACAGCTGCTCTGGTGCCAGTGAAATTGCACTTTCTGTGCCATATTTCACATTGACAGGTCTAATGAGCGGTGAAGCTGCAAAAGTATTGATATGCAAATGTCTGTTTGAGGGCTTTTCTACATCTATGTATGGTGAACTGCAGTTGTGGAAATGAGGCTTGTGCGGCAGACGAACAAACTGTATCAGAATCAAATAATTGTTGTCTTTGTTTTTGGGGGAGATTTGTTGACACTAACAGAAATGTGGAGTATCACCGGCCTCATCCTTTAATAAGGCTCTCTTACCATTTCTACCAGTGACAGATAGAGGAAAATCCCAGCAGTAACAGCAAAGATCCACTGCTGCACTTCCATATCCGAGGAAACAAACAGTCCAATGTAGAGGCCCATGAAGGCCGTCAGAGCGCTGAGAAAGTTCATTAGCACAGCAGTCTTCACTGAGAGTCCAGAGCTCAACAACACTGCAAAGTCCCCTGTGAGACAGAGAGCAGAAAAAAGATAAGTCAAGCAGAGTGTTTCCTGGCCTTGGCCAAAAAAACAACAAAAGTGAATAACGGTGACCTCTCACCCATCTCGTGCGGTATCTCGTGGCACAGGATGGCCACGGTGGTCGCCATGCCAGTCTCAGCTGAAGAGGAGAAGGCTGCCCCGACAACCAGGCCATCCGCAAAGTTATGAAGGCTGTCTCCCACGATTACCATCACAGCCAGCAGAGGAACCCCTTGTCCTGGGAACACAAAAGGGAGTCTGTGTCGTTAAAGCTCATCCTCAGACCGTGACAATCGCTCTGTCATGCCAGGCGACTAATTACAAAGTACATCACATTCGGCTGTGTTGTGCGGCTCATGTTGAAGGAGCTTACTCTGATGTGAAGGCCTCCTTGTGTCGACATGCTCAGGAGATGCTTCTGCACACTCCAAGTCATCCACTGGTCCCTGCAGGATACAGAAAGTTATTTACGGCACAGATTTTTAAACCTTTGACTCCAAACTGATTAACTAAAAATTGTAAAGTTAAATGAAGCTGGAGCCAGATGAGACAACTCACCAAAACAAGATATTTTTATATAACAACTAGGATTGTTGGAGAGTAGTTTCCTTTTCCACGTGAGTGACCAGTCTCTGTGTCCAAAATGTTCTAGTTTTGAAGTACGTATTCATCACAAGCATGGAGTGCTTTCTGAATGATTCAATACATCTCATTCTCCAACATCCTACATGTCCTGTTCCTTCTCTCCCTCCCACACCACGCTTCATTGCCTGTTATATAAAGGCAGTGCAGGACAATTGATTTAAGTGAATTCCAGTCTGTTTTTTTTATGTGAACATGGATTCAGTGGATGCATACTGTCCTTGATAAAACAGTATGTGTGTTATTTGAGAGATGAGCCACTGTTAAATCTTTTTATTTCTATTATCTGGTTTTATGCTGTATATGTGTGCAAACAAAAAGAATATTCAAAATTGTGCTGTAATTGACTGTCAACAGTGCCCTCTAGCAGAACTTGTTTCTAACAAGTTCATTAGTGCTTTCTTGTTGCTTGGCTGGAGGAGTAGTGTGGGAGTGAAGCATCAGAAGGGCGAATGAAAATGCATTGATTTTAATAATTCCACAGTGGCACAGCACGCTAAACACAATATTTAAACAATGTGTTAACTGACATAGCTGTTTCTTGTTATTTTGGAGCAAAGGAAGCTTTGTTGTACCAAGTAGGAAATAAACTTTTGTGTTTGACAGTAATGGAGCACAGTGTTGTCCTGATTTGATCAAAAGAAACACACATATTTGTTTTTAAGAGGAAGATAAACAATGAATGTGATGCTGCGTGGGCGGTGAGCGTTGATGCAGCAGATCTCTCACTACTGTCCTTATTTTTGACTTTTGTCGACTTTACCCTTTTGTGAATGAGAAGCACTTTATGTAAGTTTGCTTGGAGCACTGCAACTTTTTATTTCTAGTTTTTATTTCTAGTGTAACTGGTGGAGTACGATGTACCTGGAGACTAGCCACAACAAGCTTTTATATGTCTCTCACAATTTATTTTTTACTTTCCCTATTTATGTGTGTATCTCCTCAAGTGATCAATAGAGGCTCTCATAGTATATTTATTGTCACAATTACTGATAAATTACCAGCTATAAAAAGCCAACTGCACAGGACATGTCCAGGGGCATAAATATAGACAGTGGAGGCAGTGTGGTTGCACTGGGGCCCATGGGGTGGGGGGGACCATAGAGAAAACGGGCTCTCCCATAATTTGTTGGGCAATGAATGGGCCCTTAAGACTAAAATTGCCACCTACGGAGAAATCCAATATTCCCCTTAGCACCTCCCCAGTTTCTGATTAGGTGGACATGATAACCCTTAACACACATAACGTTATTCATCCCTACAACAGTAAATACTTTTTCCCTAACCTGATATGAAGTGTGCGCTGCATATGTGAGCATTTTTGATGATCTGACAGGCAGTGGCAGCTGGTATGTGAAAATTTAAGTTTTGAGCCATGACTCCTTCTATTCCGGCTCCCAATAACACAACAAGACAACATTTTAAGGCTCCTATGTAGCCTACAGCCCTGTGGTGGAGGGTCGTGTTTTGCCTCCAGCTAACAAACTGACATCATCACAACCCTCCTCCTAGCAGCAATGCAGCAGTTCAGCTGGCATCAGCATCAATGCTACCCTAAGTGGTGCATCAGCAACCATGCAGCAGGTAACATTAGGGTAGCAAGCTCAATATAATGTCGGTGCTGTCTTGTAGGATGTTCCAGCGAACCTCATCAGGCAGCTGGCTGATATTGGAGGGTCTCTGCCTTGATTAAGCTCACCTGGGCCTTCCAGACTATAAAAGATGCCTCATGTTTTCACTTGCTCTCTCCCTTCCTACGGCAGACGTTCACCCTGCATCATTGCTTTTTGGTTTTGCAACTTCAACACCTCCGCAGCACACCTGACACACATCCATGCATGGCTTTCATTACTGACAATGCTGACCTACACACACCGTTGTTTATTTAAGTCAGTCTTAATTTAATATATTCTGGTTGTTTTAACTATATCTTCTGTGTGGACTCCCTACTTGAGCCAGTTTGTGACAGTCCTGAATAATTCTAACATTAGCTAGGCTATTGTGTTAGATATAAATTTCATGATAAGTAATACAGGTATTATAGTGGGCTCACTAGGCTACAAATTGGGTTTAATTGTCATCATCATTATCAACAACCATTGTTTATTCAGGAAAAACTGATAGAGCATTAAGCTCTTTTACAGCAATGCCCTGAGTTCACATTCAGTGGGCTGCATGGATACAAATATATAATAGCAATTGCAATAAAGTGATGAAAAAGTCCATAAAACAAATAAGTAGCAGCAATGTCTATCAAGAATTATAAACATTAATAAAAATAACAGTAAAAAGACAATAGAGTCTGCGGTAAAGGTCGGATGCATAATGACAACAACAACATGGTTGCTACCAGGTGGATAGCTGGCCTATAAATGGTTATGGTAAATTAGCTAATAGCTAGCCTAGTAGATATTAGGTAGGCTCTTCCTAGTATTAGATAACCTACTTTTCATTTTCAAATATATGATACACCCAATGGTGTGTGTGTGTGTGGTTGTGCGTGTCATAACTAGTGTGTATTAGGGCCTGCCATAATAGCATGCACTGGGGCCTGTTGTAACTACCTTACACCACAGGACATGCCTCCCGCAGGCTAAGTTGGTTATAATACCTGGGCACAACATATGTGAAATTTTGTCAAAACCATTTGCAGTAGCAAAGAAACAGAGAAGTTGTAACACACTGCGAAATGGTTGAAATATTCAGTTTCTGCCATTTTAAGCAACGGTAAAGAACTGCAAACTTGACCCAACCTACTGAAATAAAACTGTAATCAGTGGTGTTAAAATTGAAATGAACACTTTTGTGTTAGTGAGGGGGTGCTCGAGCTCATTTGACATGATCAGCAAACAAAAAAACGCTGGAAACCACTGATGTAGAAGCACTCCACCTTATATCTCAATATTTTTGTTTTTCCTCTCTCTTCTGGACACTTGATACTTGTTTAATATTTTGCAATTTAACCTTCAGGAACTGCCTGGTCATGCTCCCTGTGCCTCCTCTACCAAGATAACAGGGATGATGACAGGAATCAGGTTTTCCTGCCAAGAACAACTTAGAAAAACATAATAGTTCAGTCTTGGCAGTAGTGAGACTCACCAGCTGTATGGTGGAGATGGACTTGCCCCTCTGTGACTGGCCGTTGCAGTTGAGCTCTAAGGCAAGGTCACCATGACCCTGCAGACAAAAGAAAGTCATGAGACCACTGTAGCTCAGTAATCAGCTCTGCAAAAGTTCAGACAAAGCACAAACTTGCTTGTTCATGGAAAACTAAAAGTTTCACCTCTGGTTAGATAAAGAAATGCAGCCCCTTGTCTTCACACAGTATGGGATGAGTGTTTTGCTAATCATTAAATTGATAAGGGGTAACTCTTACATGGCCATGAGAGGGAACAAAAAAGGAGAAGATTCTTTCAATAAGGAAAAAGCCGTAGATCCCTGCTATCATGCCCAGAATCCTCCACAGATAGTCCTTCCCCTCTGTATAGTGTTCGTCATCGTGACTGTGAGCGGCATCATGGAGCCCAAGGATCTCCAAAGGAGACAGAGAGGACAACATTAGACAATTACTCCGCAGTCAACAGAGAGTATCTTTATACATATATGGCGCTTGACTCACAGTTACAGAGGGTGGTGCAGTGGCTCTGTGTCCGATACCTGTGGTATGAGGTGCAGGAGTGCATCTCCTGAGAGGGTCCCCACTGCCAGGCCCACAAACAGCTGCAGGATCAGTGTGTAGGTTTCCTGGCAGGAGTTGAAGAAGATCAGGCAGATACCGAGCATGGAGCCCACCGTGATGAGCAGGACAGCAACCGTGCTGTAGCCATACTCTGCAGGGAAGAGAGAGTTTAGACACATTTTTGACACATTTAGTTTTATTGTTGTCTTTTATCCTATTTTTTTATGTTTGAATTGTGCAAGCGATTAAAGGAATACTTGACCCCCAAATGAGAATTTGTATATGAGTTACTCTCCCCGTATTATGTTGAATTCATAATAGAAAAATTGTATTTTTCTCACATGCCTCCAGTGAACAAAGAATCCAAAGACAGACGCAATTTTTGATGAATTGAAGTCATAGGGGTCCACACTGACCACAGCAAAATTATATCAAAATATTCGTTTACAAACTCTTACACAACTCTTACAGTATAATCCAAGTCTCATTTTTCCAGTCTTATTGCTTAGCACTTCCCGACAGGAAACCGAAAGTGAAACTCAACTATACTCTCTTCAAAGCCAGACTCCATTGATAAAATTAGTAGTTTTACCTTCCTGAACATGGGAGCTGCTGGTCAACCACTGCCTCGATCACTTAGTTAGTTTGTGTTATTCTGTGACTTTGGTGTTTTAAAGGGTTAATTCAGATTCACCAAAGTCCCACAATAACACAAACTAACTAACTGGTCAAGGCAGCAGTAGACCAGCAGCTCCCATATTCAGTGAGATAAATTACTGTTTTTGTCAATGGAGTCTGGCTTTGAAGAGAACATAAATACGTTTCATCTTTATATCAGTTTCCTGTTGGAAAGGGCTGTCTGTTTGGGAACATACAACTAGATAAATGAGACTTGGATATACTGCACGAGTTGTGTGAGAGTTTGTGAACTAATGTTTTGTTATAGTTTTGATGTTGTAAACATGGACCCCTTTTACTTTACTTCATCAAGAATTTTGTTCACTGTGGAGGCATGCAAGAAAAACAAAGTTCTCTTCCCAAATTCAAGGTAACACGGTGTGAGTAACTGATACACAAATGATCATTTGGGAGGCGAAGTATTCCTTTAAACCAAATAAACCAAAGAACCTGACTTGTTTTTCATAGACAAAAGTCTATTTAGGCCACTAATTTATACAAATAGTTCATAACCAATTTCTTGCATGTTTTTCCTGAACTAGTGTCTGGCTGTCTTTTCCAGACTTGACCTTTCGCTAAGCCCCGCCCCTTTGTGATGGTCCGTCAAGCTGTCAGAGTAAGCATGGAGCCCACATTGTAACTAACTGCACTCTCTGATGAATTATTATCATATTTTTAGAAAAATGAAACAATGATTCCAGAGAGAAGCAGACAGAGGGGTCTACAGTCTGTGTTTGAAGGATATATCCAGGATGTCAAACTGACTCAGCAGCAACAACAGGTTANCAGACAGAGGGGTCTACAGTCTGTGTTTGAAGGATATATCCAGGATGTCAAACTGACTCAGCAGCAACAACAGGTTAAAAAGACAAAGATAGTTAGAAGCTAAAGCCGAACTATAGGCTACAGATCACAGTGTAAAATTGAACCACCACATCACTGCTGATCGCCACAGAAGACAATGAATATAAAGGGAAACTTTGCTGATATTGAACTAGCTGTGTGGCATCACAGTGTGTGCAGACCTCGACGGGCAGGGATCTCCAGGGGAAGTCAAACAACATTCATCCGCACACACTGTGATGACACACAGCGAGTTGAGTATCAGCAAAGTTTCCCTGCTTCCCTTCACTGGTTCCTGTACAGCAGGGTCACCCTTTTTTTCACTGTTATCATTAAAAATCAAAAGCAGCATGCGTATACATTCAGTGGGCTATATCTTCAGTAGCTAGCTAGCTAACCCTACACTTTTCAGGGTTTGATTTTGGTTTTGGAACAGGGAAGAAACGTATATCTTTTTCCAACCTCTCCAGGTAACGAGTATCATTAATACACGACGTGCCCCAGGCACAACATTTAGCTCCAAATACACAAAACCAGCCTGAAAATGAAGAAAATCTGAAACGATTGCATTAGAGTCAATGGAGCACAGCTGTGGTGTGAGCCAGAGTGATGACAATATGACTGGCCAGTCTGCGTCTGGGGACTGGACTTAGTGAAGGGTCAATTATAGTAAATTAAATCAATTTTCCATTATTTTCTTATTTAGTGATTCAATTGAGAACCTTTAACAGCAACTATTTAATGGTAAAGGCCCTCTGCGATTCAGTAAAAAGTCACAAAGCAATAACTGCTCGATTTAGTTACACATTAATTATCTGATGTATTTATTAGTGACTGTAGGCTGATGAGGTAAAACGCCTTACTCTCGAGAGCAGTGGGCAGAGATCCTCTTCTCTTTTGCTCTGCAGACTCGCAGGCATTGCCTAGCAACTGCTGGATGATGGCTGGGCACATTTGCCTGAAGTGCTCCTTGGAAATCGGCAAATGGGGATTCAGAGCAAAAATATCCACCAGCTGATTGGCCGAAAAACACACCTGATTAGATTCAAAAGTAGAGACAAATTTGTGGGTGAGTAGGGGACACTTCAGATCAAACCTTACAGTACCTTCATGCAGTTTACAGGAATGTTGACATGCTTCTTGTGATTCAGAATATCCTCCTTTAAAGCAATGTAAACATTTGCCTCGGCCTCACCTGTGCCCAGTCTCTGCTTATTCCACCATTTTCATGTTGACAACCATCCAGCAGAGGCCTGGCCCCTTTCTGTGAACTCCGCCTCTTCCTGTGGTGAGAGTGCGTCGCTGTTTCCTGTCCCACTCCCAACTGATGAAGCAACTCTTCTAAATCTAAGCAGAGAAATCACTGTGTCATGATGCTATGCACCAGGTCAGGTTAAAGTGAGTGAATCACTGTGAGTTTGGAGAAAATAAAATGTTATGCAGATGAGATTAAAGAAAACTCTTCACATACAACACTGATCATTAATGGCTGTAACCACTGAGTTATTGGTTTGTACCTGCAGATGGCCAGCATTTCCTGCCAGTATTTAAAAATGAATTTGACTCTTTTTATATAAGAGATGACTGTGTATTATTTTTAGCAGCATGGAAAGTCATTGACACAATATTTAGAACCTCTCTTTTTTAAAACCCGATTGATGGAAGTCTTTCAGGAGGGTTAGTTGCTCTTTCATACATGATGACTCATTCGTCCTATTCAGTGGCAGCGACAGGAAACACCTTCAAATGAAAAACTCAGAGAGGATGTTGACGAGTTTAAGCTGCTGTAATCAATATTTTTATAATACCAGTAGACCAAATAACTGTGTAATATTAAAGATGTTGTTTAGAGTGATGAACCCACAGATCACCCAACTTTGAATTCATAGCTTCTTTCTGTTTATTATTTTCCAGCTGACACCTTTACTGTTTTGTTTCACTCTCATGGCTCTCGTTGTCTTTTTTGCAGCATGCAGCTATTTTTAGTGGGAAAGCTCTGATTAACCGACTTTATACTACCTGCTGAGCACCAAACAGCAGGCAGGCACACATTGCATTTAGCTGGTAATATAGTGAAGCATTTAGCAACTAAAGAGTCAGATAGTACCATTAGGAGTTGGTGGAGACCCAAAGTAGAGCTGAAAGGAGAGTGAATATTGGACTGATAATGTTGCTTTGTATCTGTCGGATGTTTAACTGCTGGCTAACAGTTTGTCAGTGTAGTGTTTATAGCTTGTTCCTGCTGCTCCAACTACCAAAAAACTTTTGTATGTTTGAACAAGATATAGAAAGAGAATCAGATTGCAGTTCTTTTTAATATAGCTGTGGTCAGGGAGCAATCTCCATATACCAGCAGACAGGGATGGGAATCGAGAACCAGTTCCAGTGTCTCCAAATCATATGCCTCCCAGCTTATCAATTCCTTTTATTGTGCTGGATAGTTGCGCTTTTGCACAACAATGATGTCAAACTTGTGTCAATGCTGCTGAAAACTTACAACAAGAAGTCATGGTGGAGTTAAAGAAGCGTTCCAAAGCCTGGCTTTATTTTATAAGAAAAGATGATAACACTGCTGCTTGTAATGTCTGTATAATGATGTCAAATAAGGGTGGAAACGCTAGCAATATGCTGAAACATCTTTCTATGCAACATTGGCTTAAAATCCATGAGTACCACTGCTTCCCAACCGAGCAGCACATCCCTTACCGAGGGTAAATATCCTACATTATAATAACAGCACCAAGCAGGCAGGTAGAGCAGATTTTCCTTTGACTAAGGAAACCTAAATGAAAACAAATGCTGTACAAATATTCTCTCATTTCATCCACTTTAGATGACAACAGAACACTGTTGCCATTGACACCAAAAACCTGTACGGGCCTACTTTTTTCTCCCACATAGAAGATTGAATCAATAAGGAAACCTATAAGAATGGGACTGATCTGCAGAATTGATAATGGTATTGCTATCGAGAAAGTCTTATTAATTCCCATCCCTACCATCAGAGGATCACACTATCATTATCATGAATACAAAAGCAAATGTCACTCTGTTTAAATGTGCATGACAGGCCAACTAAGCTCTTGAACTTACCCATTATCTGCAGTTCACTTGTGCGATTTAGGGATTGAAAGATGTATTCAGTGAAGAAAGCAGGAGATGGGAGGTTCCTCTGTTTGAAACAGTGGCCCTGCAGGACGTGGCTGATGATAGATGCGGCCAGTTTGGGCACAGAAAACACACCAGCACCTGCTTTTTCTTCTACGTCAACATCTTCAAGGAGGCGAGCGGCGTCAAAACACTGTGGGATCAAAGGTGAAATGATCAAACTTGGATGTGCACCTGTTGAGACAAAATAAATCTCTACAAATTCCTTACTTGCAAATCAGATGAGGCGTCTTTATCGGGGGGGTCGTAGTGCTGGTTGATGACCTGCAGTATACTCTCTGTTTCACTGGGTGACAGGAAGTGGTCATCCTCAGCTGGGTGTAGACTGGTTAGGGCCAAAAGGTAGAACTGATAGTTCCCAAAAGAGGAGGAGGAGGCTGAGGAAAAGGAGGAAGGAGAGGCAGCATTTGACACGCACAGGTCTTGCAGGTTAATTATGTAGTACAGCAGAACAGTAGAGATCCGCTGATAGTCCTCCTCAGTGACGTAAGCCTTCCCATCATGCTTCAGCACAGAGAGAGCCACATCTGGTGTCAGGCACTGCAACAAGAACAGGGAGAAAGAAGAGAAAGATTGTAAGGACAAAGTCACAAAATATCAGATCATGTGAGCACTGACTGAAAAGCGAGTGACCTCGGAAGAAGAGTCGGCTTCATGAAAGGCCTATTTTCTCCCTGCATACACTGTGTGCTCTGCTTCCCAGAAAAATGGTAGCTTTGTGCTGCTGTTTGTGCCCAATTAGACCCACACACAAAATATAGAAGGTTAGGAGTGTAGGCGAAGCACTATTCTTTGTGAAAGAGAAAAGTTTCTCTCTTAATTTTAACATCTAACTTCCAAGGCTTGACACGCACATAATCCTGTTGTCAGCCCGCCTGCACAAACATGTGAAGTACCTCTAACTCCACTCTATGGAATTTATTATGTCAAACTGAGGGATGCCTAAAGCCACTCAGCATGAATGCCCCATAGAGGTCAAGGACTTAAGCCTCCACATTCACTCACATTCCAGCCATAACAAGCACGTTTCTTGCAATAAGCAGGCAGGAATGGGATGAATACATAATAAGTGCTTAGCATATGGATGTAAGAGGGCTCTAGTTATCATGTAGTGTGACAGCATTAAGACAGGTGTACCCCTTACCTTGTTACAGCCGTCCTGAGAGGTTCCAGTCTGCTCTGCACAGTGTACCACCTGGAGGAGCTTGGTGATCAGGACCCCGGTGTGGTTCTTGTGGAGCCGTGGCTCATTGTCGTCTGCACCCAGGGGCAGATCCAAGGCCCTGAGAGCCCCCTGCAGGTACCCCCGCTCCTGCCCTCTCACCTCCAGCAGACAAAGAAGCAGCAGCAAAGTGGGCGCAGTGGTCCTGAAGTGCATGTTCCTACCTAAGGCTGTCCGACTCCCGTCAAGCTCCCAGGACTGGCTCAGAGCTTGAGACAACGAGAAGATGATGCATACAAACAAGCAAAGTGAGAGAGATATTTAAATCAAGGTGAGGAGAGAGCTGGAAGCTTCTAGAAAAGAAGAGGCGTTAATGATAGGCCCGCCAGATCTGGTGGAGGACAGGAGGACTCGGAGGGCACCCTTCAGCTGAACCAGCCCTTACAGTGCCGAATGGTCAGCCAAAGCCTGGGCCCCTCAGCCCACAACAAAAGGATTAGTGCAGGCAAGTGAGAGAGCACAGGGGCAGGGAGTAGGGGGCATGGAGGGGGAGACAGCAGAGAAAATAATTAGTATTGAGGAAAACTAGGCAGTAGGGAAAAGCTATTATTAACGCTAAGCAACAACAGAGATCCGCATCTTAAACGAAGTAGTTGCTGGAAATGCTGCATCTCTTCAGTTTGTAACTCAATAGAAAGTCTGAAGGCTTTCATAATGGTCTAAATATTGAACACGTTTCCTTATTTAGCTGCATCAATTGTTCAAGAACAAGACAGGGGCTGGTGTGAGTGAGTGTATGTAGTATGTTGAGCCCCAGATGCATAGAAACACTGATGACGTTCAAGTCAAAGGGATTTTTATTCTCTATGATCTCTGAGTCATCAAGGATCAAACATGCAAAGCAAAACATGCCAAGCGTTCTCGCAAGAACACTTTCCAACATCCACCCACGCCATACACCCTGCAGGTCAAAGCGACCGAGCAATAACAGGACTAAAGCTACAGTAATACCTGAGATAGAATAGATGAAAAGGCTTACCGGATGAACCGTTCTCCCCTCTGCTCCTCTCAGCTGCTGTATCTAGGTTTGTTTTCTTCCTCTGCTGGGATAAATGGAAGATCCAGAGCTTGTTTGGGGAGAATTCTTGGGCATTGGTGCTGCTGGTAAAACCCTCTTAGGAGAAGTAAGAGTTGAGTAAGCTCCTGAGGATTAGCTGCGACAGCCTCAGAGGGCTGTGGTTTCCATGGAGAACGCTGCCTCATTTTCAATATTAGGTGATGGGGGTGGCCAGCCGCTGGAGGGGGGGGGGGGGGGGGGGGGGGGGGGGGGGGGGGGGGGGGGGGGGATTGAATGGCTGATGCCTGACAGACTAATACTTAAAAATTTTGAAACTGAGCATGAATCATCACTTAGAAAAAGCAGATTTACAGACACATCACTTGATAGTTTGGTCTTCTACTCAGTTTGGGTCAGATCTATTTATCCTTATTTTATTTACAGAAAAATCTTTATGAATGTATATTTTCACAACTAAAAACCTTTGGCCTTTGTTTAAATTTTAAATCATATTCTACACATGGCTTTCATTAAGAGGAGGTATCTGCAACATTTAAAATTCATGCTGTTATTCCAACCAAAGTCTGCAGTACATCAGCAGTAAGGAGACACAGAACCACAGCAAAATACAAACAAGGAAACATTATTTATTTATTGTAAGGTTTGTAATCAGAAGTGAATGATGCTGCAGGGTAGTTGTGTACAATATTATATATATAATATTGTTTTTTTTTAAAGATTCATAGCATCGCTAATGTTGATCTGTCACTTGGTCGGTTCGTCACTTCATCACCTCGGTCCAGACTGAAATATCTCAACTATTGGATTCATTTCCATGACATTTTTTTTTACAAAAAATCATGGTCCTCATGAGGTTGTTCCAGTGGCGCTGCTCAGCTGCCAACTTGGGCTGTCCTGCTGCTGTTGCAATTCGAAATTTTGTTTCTGGTGTTGTTTCTGATTTTCGATGTAAACATACAAGTCAGGTTTGTCCAACATCTTGTGCTAAACTACTGGTGAATTAAATCCAGCCTATTCAGAACGGCTAAGAACCATTCTCCTCACCAGGTCACATGAGACGCCATTGAAGACCAATGTTAGCTGCTAAGGTTGAGTAATGTCACAGCGGCCCTCGAACACCTGCTACTCCAGCAGTTGTTCGTAGTTAGGCACCAAGGGTTTAAACCTAGCAGCTGGTTATCCAACCCAGACACTTGCTGCTGACTGCTGCTGAGGCTTGTCTTTGGCCTGGGGTTGCAGTAGTTTGGGTGACAACATTAGTACAAACAACAGAGTGTGCTAAGCTAAGCTAAGCTAGAGTGCTAGCTAGGCTCACTGACTGTAAAGAGCTGCTCCCGGAAGCTAACACCAGCCACCAACAGTAAGGCACCAAGGGCCTAAGCCTTGCAGCTGGTGTCGGTCACCGCATCCCAGAGACTTGCTCCTGTCGGCCACAGCAGGGCTTACCTCAAACCCGGGTCTGAGGCAGGCAGGGGCATAGTGCAACACTGCAAGTTGCTGCACCCCAGAGACTTGCCTCTGTCAGCTGCAGTGGGTCACGGCGGTCTCTGGCGGGGATGTGCTAGCTGGCTAGCTAGAGAAATCTACAGGACCATAATAGTGTCCTGTGTTTAGGCCCTGAAGGCTGAAGCCTAGCAGCAGACTCCGCAACAACTGCACAATGAGACATAAAAAACGCTGAGCCATGGTGGTTCTACTGTCCCTGTTGGTCCTACTTTTGGTGGTTGGTGAACTCTTGTGCAACAGTTTGCCCATACCTTCTTCGTACATGCATCGGCACCTAGTTAATGCCCGAGATGTCCTGCTAATTCAGCATGGAGGGGACGCACTGCTGGATCATCTGCCGAAAAGACATCAGGACAAAGCCTGCGGAGGAACCACAGCGGAGGAAAAGGGGCAGAAGAGGAGGCTTCAGACAATGGCTCTGCAGATGGGGTGACAAGCCACCACCGCCTCCCATCATACTAAATGGACTCCTAAATGGATGAGCTCTGGGTAAACAGGAGATTTTCTCCCAAGTACAGAGAGTCAGGCATCATGGTGTTCACGGAAAACTGGTTTGGGCACGACACACCAGACTATCTGTTGGAGTCGGAGGGCTTCTCCTGTGCTCAGGCAGACAGGAATTACTTCTTGGGGAAGTCAAGAAGTGGGAGCCTTATCATCAATGTGAGTTACTGTGTAAATACTGTTCTTACAATACACCATTAGATGTACCGGTAGTTCATGTGACCATGACCTACAATCAACTGTCTCTTCATGCACCCTTTCTACCTCCCTTAAGAGTTCAGGAACATTATTATCTGTGCTGCATATATACCTCCTAGTGGGAATGCAAGTAGAGCTGCAGATCATGTAGCAGAATGTGTTCACTCCAAACTCCAGCACTTTCTGGGGGCCCCTGTCTCTGCGCTTGGCGACATGAATAATGCCGATTACACTTAGCTCTCCCTAGACTCCACCAGTACTTTAAATGTGGAATGTGGAACTAGAAATCCCAAGCGTAACACAAATACTTCAGTAACATTAAAGGTGCTTATAAAGCTAACGCCCTCCCCTTGCCAATTCAGATCACTCTCCTGTCCGTGTCTTGCCCACATATAAATCAGCACTCCAGTCAAGCAAGCCTCAGCACAAAACAGTGCTTCAGTGGACTGGAGATAATGTAGAAACACTTAGGGGCTGTTTCCTCAGCACTGATTGGAGCATGATGAGGCTACAGAGACTATCACTGTGATACTATCAATGTAGTTCATAAAAAAAAAAAAAAATCTTTCCCAACATTAAGCCACACAGTACTGAGGTCAAAGCTTGTATTGACAAAAAATGGCTTTCAAAATAAGGACTGGGTAGGTATTGCTACAGCACAAAAGAACTCAACTACCTGCTGAGAAAGGCAAGAGAAAAACACAGTTCTGTTAATCTAACAGAGCTTTAGCTCTATAGACAGTAGAAGATTATGGGACTCTATCAGAAATATAACTAACATGAACTCTTGCAGGAAACAGCTGATAACCACAGATGATCTGAACAGTACTAATGAGCTGAATCATTTTTTTCTTAGATTCGAAACCCAGGATTTCTCCTTGGAGGGTGCAGAGGTTCTGGACTCTATCAGTGCTACTGTTGCTGCTGACTGGCTGTTAATCAAACCTCAGCAGATGTGCAGACCATCTTTAGTAAAGTATGTTGGCCTAAGTCAAACTCTGGGTACTCTACGCAGCCTAATGATTTTATCATCACATTCTCAGATGATACCATTATGTTAAGCCTGTTCCATGTCAGTGACTGCCACTCTGTGTAAAACAGAGAGATTGCCACCTTTAAACCTTTTAAGGAAATGATCTATGACTGCAGGGGAGTGAGAGGCCATGACCATGTGATTATTATTAACAGTGTAATTGAACAGGTGTCCTCCTACAAATACCTAGGAATTATGCTGGACAATAATTGGAGTTGGAGAATTGGAGTGTACATGTTGACTTTTTCTGCACTAGACTAATTTAGAGACTTCACTTCCTCCGAAGACTGTGCCTGAACAGAGATCGTATTAATGGTCTACAATGCAATGCTGCTACCATATTGCTCTGCTTTTTGTCTCTTTATTTTTTGTACACTGCTGCTTTTATTTTGCCTCAGTACGCTGGTACCTACTATGTGATTTGTTTTCTACTATTTTTTTGTGTTTTGTTGTCTAGTGTATGCCATGCACGCACTTACAATGCAGCTATATGCACTATGTGCCCAAGACAAATTTCCCTTTGGGGACAATAAAGTTTATCTTATATCTCAACAACTATTGCACAGATTGCAGTGAAATTTGGTACAGACATTCATAGTCTCCAGAGGATGAATCTGTATCAGTTTTGTGATCCTCTTACTTTTTATTGAGTGCCAGCACCGAGTCATAGTTTTTAGTTGTCCATCTTTTAGATAGATTAGCACCAAATTTACAGACGTTCATGGTTCCCAGAAGATGTATCATATGACTTTTTCTCTAGCACCACCATGAAGTTCACATTTTTGGTTCAGTGTGAAATATATCAACAACTGCTGGATAGAGTGCCATTTAACTTTGTACAGAATTTCATGGTCCTCAGAGGTCTACTGACTTTGGTGATCCTCTGATTTTTCATCAAGCACTGCCAAATTGCCGTAAAATTTAGTACGAACATTCATGGTCCCCAGAGGATGAGTGATTTTGAGTGATTTGTGATCAGGTAATGGTGCCAGAACATTTTGTGATCATCATCAAAACCTGTTTTGTTATATTTTTATATTACTGTATAAGTCACCTTTATATAATCTCAATGCATCTCAAAACAGTTTTTCGCAAATCACTGTTCAACACTGTCACTCAATTTTTGGTCTGTTAGAAGAAAAAAGTGCAAAAGAGGGGCCAATTTAGTTTTATTAATTTCATTTCTTTTATTTAGCATCTATTTACAATGTCAAAACCAGAAACAGGCTGATGAGTAGCCCATGGAGAATAATAACAGCAACCCAGATGAGAAAAATCTGATAATTGCATTAATAAAACATCTTCACCCTTCTTGATTTTTAAACTGTTGTTTCATCTACATATGTTCTTGATTATCTTGATTGGTAAAAATAAAAACTAAACTGTACACATTTCACAAATCACATAATCATGTAAAATTTGCTTAAGATTGTTCACTTGTATT